GTTGAGCAAGGATATGCTTACTGATGGGGGCGGGCGGGGGGAAGAGGAGAGAAACTGACCAGTTGCTTCCCGCATGCACCCCAATGGGGATCGAACCCACAACCTAGGCCTGTGCCCAGTCACACCAGCTGAGCAAGGATATGCTTACTGATTTGGGGGGGGGCAGAGAGAGAGAGAGAGAGAGAGATGCCACCCTTTTGTGTACAGGGCGACCCTCGAGCCACCCAGCCAGGCCCATCGCCCATGAACGACAGAGACGCAAACTGACCAATTGCTTCCCGCATGCACCCTGAATGGGGATCGAACCCACAACCTAGGCCTGTGCCCTGACCGGGAATGGAACCTGCCACCCTTCTGTGTACGGGGCGACCCTCCCACCACCTGAGCCACCCGGCCAGGCCCATCGCCCATGAACGACAGAGACGCAGTGATAAACAATGTGATGTTTGTGACAAACACAGCACAGCACATCACTTCAGAAAGCACTGTAAATGGGGGGCGGGGGCGGGGGCGGCGGAGGTCCAAGTCCCGCTCCCCGAGTTGTTTTGAAGAGAACGCGGCAACTTCTGTGGGTTTTCCTTCTCGTGTTTCTGTGAAAAGCAGAGGCTTATACACAATTTTAATGAAAAACAAGACTGTGCACCGGGGAGATGATGGCCTCTGGCCCGCGATCCTGAATCATCTCCCACATGTCTTTAAAAGGGAGGAAGTCGCCTTTGCCAGGGTGGCTCGTTGGTCAGGGCACCGGCCTGGCCACTGGCGGGGTTCGGGGTCGATTCCCGGTCAAGGGCACGTGCCTGGGTTGCAGGCTCCATCCCGGGCCCTGGTTGGGGCACATGGGAGAGGCAGCCAGTGGATGTGTCTCTCTCGCATCAATGTGCCTCTCTCTCTCCCTCCCTCCTCCTCTCCTGCTTTCTCTACAAATCAATGGAGCCCCAGCCAGTGTGGCTCAGTAGTCAGAGCACCAGCCTGTCCATTGGAAGGTATCGGGGTCGATTCCCGGTCAAGGGCACGTGCCTGGGTTGCAGGCTCGATCCCGGGCCCTGGATGGGGAGCGTGCAGGAGGCAACCGGCTGACGTGTCTCCCTCACGTCGCTGTCTCTTCCCCATCTCTCCCCCTCCCTCCCTTCCACTCCCTCGAATCCAATGGGGGAAACACCCTCGGGTGAGGACTCCCAGCACCAACACAATCCATGGGAAACCATTACCCAGAAAACACAGGGAGAGCATCAGGCCTCCGTCTCCGCTTGTTACACCGGGTGGTGGGACTGACACGGAGACGCAGCCCGGGGAGCATGGGCAGGGGCGGCGGGCGCCCACGGCAGACCTCCCGCAGGTGAACGCGCTGGAGCAGGCCATGCTGGACGCCCTGGTCCTGGACCGCGTGGACTTCGTGAAGCTGCTGATCGAGAACGGGGTCAACATGCAGCACTTCCTCACCATCCCGCGGCTGGAGGAGCTCTACAACACGGTGTGTGCTCCAGGGGGGCCCCAGCCCCCATTCCCTCCTTCTGCGCCCCCCTATTCCTCCCCCGCCACCACAGGCCCAGAGGGCCCTGGATGGGGAGCGTGCAGGAGGCAACCGGCTGACGTGTCTCCCTCACGTCGCTGTCTCTTCCCCATCTCTCCCCCTCCCTCCCTTCCACTCCCTCGAATCCCCGCCCAACACGCTCCACCTGCTGGTCAGGGACGTCAAGAAGGTGCGTCTGCCCTTCCACGGTCCGCGCCGTGGGCGTAGTTACGTGACTGTTTGTTCGTTTGTTTGTTTTCGTTAATTCTCGCCCGAGGGTGTTTTTCCATTGGTTTTTAGAGAGAGTGGAAGAGAGAAGGAAAGACAGAGAAACATGGATGGGTTGCCTCCTGCAGGCACCCCGATCAGGGCCCCGGGCCTGGGGAGGAGCCTGCAGCCGAGGTCCGTGCCCCTGACCGGAATCAAACCGGGGACCCTGTGGTCTGCAGGCCGAGGCTCTATCCCCTGAGCCAACCC